CTACAGGCAGCTCGCCATAGGTAGCTCGCCACAGGCAGCTCGCCACAGGCAGCTCGCCACAGGCAGCTCGCCACAAGCAACTCGCCACAGGTAGTTCACCCTCATGTATCCTGGCACCTCAGAACAACTAGGTGACACCTGAGACCACTTTGGCAACAACTTGCCTTTTCTAAGATGATGGTGTCCCACAGACGCGACCTGGTGGCCTGTCCCTGGCGCGACTTGGCCCCTGGTACGAGCTGGCATCTTGGCCCTAGCGCGACTTGGCCCTGGCACGAGCTGGCAGCCTGGCCCTGGCGCGACCCGACTCTACACGAGCTGGCAGCCTGGTCCTGGCGCGACCTGGCCCTAGCACGAGCTGGCTGCCTGGCAGCCTCTTGACAACTAAGTGCCATTTGGCCCTCCAATGACATTATGACACCTAACAGCCTCTTGACAACTAAGTGCAGCCTCTTGACAACTAGGCAGCTCGCCATAGGCAGCTCACTACAGGCAGCTCGCCACAGGTAGCTCGCCACAGGCAGCTCGCCACAAGCAACTCGCCACAGGTAGCTCACCCTCATGTATCCTGGCACCTCAGAACAACTAGGTGACACCCGAGACCACTTTGGCAACAACTTGCATTTTCTAAGATGATGGTGTCTCACAGACGCGACCTGGCCCCTGGTACGAGCTGGCATCTTGGCCCTAGCGCGACCTGGCCCTGGCACGAGCTGGCAGCCTGGCCCTGGCGCGACTCGTTCCTGGCACGAGCTGGCAGCCTGGCCCTGGCGCGACCTGGCGCTAGCACGAGCTGGCTACCTGGCCCTGGCACGAGCTGGCGACCTGGCCCTGGCACAAGCTAGCGGCCTGACACAGGCGCCAAACCTGACAACCTCGAGGAGCTCACCATCGTACCCCACATTTTACGAGATTGTGACTTGTAACGGCTATATTAGCTCACCCACTCCCCCAGTCAGGTGAAAATGGGCAACCTTACCAGTCGATGGCTTTATTCCCACCTAACATGAAAACATGTCCCATCACAGCAGGAATCCAGGAACTGCTCTACCTAACCCATGAGGACTCCAGTATATAAGGACCTCACCCCCCAGGGGCGAAGGGAKAGGCGAAATAGATGGTAATCTCTGCTCTCTAGCTCTCCCATTCTCATATATCGTCTTCAAGCTCTCTACTACTATATTGTGCTAACTAAGCCATCGGAGTGACCTCACCGGGTAAACATCCCCGGGTCCTTTAACATATGTTTACTTGCAAGCCTCTAAAAGAGCAACAAAGCTCATCGAGGTAGCTCACCCGTAGGTAGCTCATCAAGGTAGCTCACCTCCAGGCAGCTCATCAAGGTAGCTCACCTACAAGCAGCTCATYAGGGTAGCTCACCTCCAAGTAACTCATCAAGGTAGTTCACCACTAGGCAGTTCACCACCATGCAGTTCAGCAGCAGGCAGTTCGCCACTAGGTAGYTCGCCACTAGACAGTTTGCCACTAGGGAGCTCCACTTTAATCTCTGAGTCACAGGCCACTTGGGAGCAGACGAGATGACGAGGTACTTAACCAAAAAATTAATACATCACGAAAAAATGATATATGACCAAAAACCGTTACATCAGGTTTTTTATTAACCATGTGATAAGGACAAACTTCTTTAGCCTATCTAAGTGACATGCCACCTGCAACGGAGGGAATCATTTGTAGTTCATCGCAAGTGCTAGTATCAACCATGTGATAAGGATAAATACGTTCCCCGGCAACGTATTCAACTCATCACAAGTGCTAGTGACTTGCATTTACTTCCTGGATCGTTTATCGGCCATCAGGAGGTCTATGGCGACTCATTATTATCATATTGTTGGTTGGCGTGTTGCTTATCGCAGATGCTTTATCATTGTGCCTTGTGCCATTATAGTTCTCATTGCTACTTGGATTCCTTGTTTGCAGTTCAAGGTTATTATCTTAATCTCTACGGTACTAAGCTACATCTACTTACAACAAGTAATTAGGCACGTCGATGATATCAAAAAATTTGAGGATGATGTATTAATGTAATTGAATTACATTTGGATTTTGCTTTATGCTTCAAATGATGTATTCATGTAATTGGATTACATTTGGATTTTGTATTATGCATTTGATTAACAAATCGGCTTGGATTTGGATTTAATTTCATCCGATTTGATTAAAATACGAATTTAGTTATATTATAATAATTATTGATTTAAATATATAAATTTTATATAATTATATTTAAAATCATAAAATATATTTTTTATATTATATTACATATGAATATATATATATATATATATATAATAAATTCAATATGTATGTTTATAATTAATTTATTACATATAAAAGATGAAAAAGCAATCAACTTTTTAATTTTTTTGTTCGTATTTAAAAAATCAAAGCGGGATCAAATTAAATCCAATCCAATACAAGTTTGTCTGTATTTGAATTCTAACCGAGGTATTTGAAATCTGTTTAGATTCCGGATTGGATTTGGATGGAAGTTTTTAATAATCGGATCGGATTCGAATTTTTGCTGAATTCGATCCGATTACAACCCTACCTCTAATTCACATGTGGTGGAGGTGGTGGTGATGGACATGTTTGGTTGCGGGCTATTTCTTAATCAAGACAAGGAGATCGGCAACCCTAAATCAAACAGGAATTCAGCTTTGTTATCACTTACCAATGGAGAGTGGTTTTGGATTTTATGTGTCCAGGGCGAAAAGCCAAAAACAGATATAAGCCAAAATGCGCAAATTCTTAAATCCATTCAGGAGCAGGTGGAAGGTTTCATTTATTGATAGGGTTATTTTCGTAAATACGGATGCCCCGACAGCATGACTCACGTAGCGTTTCGTAAAAGGGCCACCACGCCGCGCTCCTCCTTCACATCTCTTCAAAACAAAAAGGCGCGAAAGCAACTCTAATCTCCCGCGTCTTTCCGACCGTATCTCCATCTATTTCTTTGCTCCTATCACTCTCTCACTCTCCCTGATTCTCTCTACTCGTCAAGCAAAAGCAAATGCAGCGCCACCACCGCCCGCCCTCCACTGCCACCACTCCGGTCGGCAGCGTCGTCACTACTGACGCTGCCGATCCAAAGCGTGGCAAAAAGCGCGGGAACTATAACTGTGGCCGATGTGGCCTCCCGAAGAAGGGACACTCCTGTAACATCAGCATTGCCTCCACGACGCCCACCGCTGATTCTTCTTCCATCGTCACCTCTTCTCCTCCATTCCCCACCCCTCCTCCTCTCCCGCCACGCCAACCCTACTCGCACCTCCGCCGCGCTCTCTCCTTTGACGATCACGAGGTCGACGAATCGGTTGTATCAGATGATGAGGATGAAACCGGCATGTCCCTGGAGATGGGGTCCGATTACGGTGGATCTCGACTTCCTTGGAGCTGTTTGTGGGAGGTGCTGCGGAGGTTGCCGCCGCCAGCGCTGTTGTCGGCAGCTAAGGTTTGTAAAGGGTGGAGAGACTGTTCTAGGAGACTTTGGCGGGTGGCGGAGGAGCTCAGGCTTAGGGTTCCTGCCAAGGCTCAAGTTGGGTTTGTTGGATCGATGTTGCAGAAGTGCTCTGGGCTTGTTAGGCTCTCCCTGAGGATGGAAAGGTTAGATTTTTCTCGGGTTTCTCAAGATGCTTTTGCAGATCTACTGTATTTTTGAGATCAGAAACTAGATCTATGGAAATGAGATTGAGAAAAATGGAAATTCTCTGTGTTTTAATAATAATAATAATAATTATAATACCAATAATAATAATAATCGTTTTAATTTTATTAATTTTAATGATAAGAACAACAACTGAATTGTTCGGGGGGATTTTCCTTGGTTATTGTCTTAATTTCTGTATGTTTTTGCGGAGTTTTGTACATCGAACGCTTGGAAATAAATATGTAGAACACAAATTGGAGGTCATGGGCCGTTTTTTCTCGGATTTAGTATATTTATTGATTTTTGGTTTTGCTGTTTATCTTCATTGATCTGATTTTACTTAGAAACCAATAGGGGAAATCTGCTTTGTAAAACAAAGATGACAAAGAAAAACATATGGAAGGAGCTGGTTTTGGTCAACTTTATATCTACAGATCTACTTTCACCTTGTTTATGGAATTTGGTTTTTGGTTTTTGATTTACTTTATTCTGTTCATCAACGATGAATTAGTCTGGAATGTTGAAAGCAAAATTTGAAACGGGATTAGCATGCCTTATTAGTGTTTTTATTCATTTATTTTATGTAATTTCCTTACTTGGTTTTGCAGTGACGTGGATGCAACAATGTTGGCCTGCATTGCATTTTCATGCCCTAACCTAGAATCCATGGAGATCAATGTATCTGATACTGCCATCAATCGGATATCTGGGTATACCCCGCTTCTTTTATCTTTTTCATCCTCTTACATCATTGTTATGGAGGCTTCCTGTTTGCTTAGTTTCTTACTCAAATCGTGGTTGTAATTTTCTATTAGTAGAGTAGATTTCCTTGTGTTGTTTGATGAATAGAGTAAAAGACACTCTGTTGCCATAATTAAAATGAATTGATTTCATTGTAATTATACTTTGAATTTTAGGGTACAAGTTCACCATTAAAAATGGATCCATTTCTGGCTGCTAATAAAATATTAGGGTGATGTCGTTTTAGGTTTTCAGGAGATGAACTCATTTCCAATATCTCATATCAACTTGAAATGACTTTTAGATGATAATCTTGTGCATTACAATATAAAATCCAAAACGAAAGGATTTAATTTCAACTAGCATCCAGATATAAATACCTAGTTTCCTTACAGTATCATTGCTTCTTCTCTCTCGTCTGCTCATGTTTGGTCAAGATTTCATTTATACAAAATAAGGAATATTGCTTTTTCCTCATTTTTCTTGGGCCTTTTGAAATGCATTCATTTTCAAAATGTAGTACCTTGAATTCTTGTTACTTCAGAGTGTTATTGCTACTGYAACATACTTTAATTTGGATTCCTATTTTCCTAGGGCTAATTTTGTTTAGTTTGATCAAGTGGTGCTGTCTGAAACATTTTATTTATTTCTCTTTGAAGACTAAATGGGTGCATAATCACATGAAACTAGGTTTGACCTTTACCTTGTTGATCTGTACTTCTTTAACACTATGAATGAACTGCCGTTGAGGCTTTAATTTTAATACTATAGTACTGGCATAATTTGCCTCCCATTTTCCCTCCCTTAGTGTTTGGTTGGTCAGGTTCATGATATAGTCTGATTGCAATAGGAGAGGAAAATTTATGTCCACTGCATAATTATGCTTTGTTCAATGTATATTTACATAGCTTCATTACAGGGATGAATTAGGTCGGTTTGTTTCTGACAAGCGGTGCCTTTCGAGCCTTAAAATGGAAGGTTGCTCTAACCTTGGTTGTGTCAACCTCAGTTCATCAAGTCTGTCAACTCTTTGGCTTTCTGATCTCTATTCCCTCTCTAAGATGGTGATTTTCTTTACTTTTTTTTTTCTTTTATCTTGAGGTGGAGTTTTAGTTACCATCTCCATATATTCTCTTTGTTATTTTTGATTAAGCATTTAGTTAATCTCCAGTTCTTTATTTTGGATTTTCACAGGTTTTTAATTGTCTCAACTTGAAGGAGATTTCCTTGGATTTTTCTCGACAAGAAAATGATTGTACCGATCTTGTTGCCATGGTAGATGGTTGGGGAAGGAGTTGTCCAAGGTTGCGAAACATTCACATTGCATCTGTTAAACTTTCTCATGCTGTTGTGCTTGCTCTTACTGCCGCAAATTTGAGGTTGGTTAATTTCTTTGCTTGCTATACTGATATTTTCTTCTATTGATTGGAGTTGAATCATCAAATCTATTTAGCTTGTTCAACTAGCTTTCCATTTTTCTGAAGTAGCTATTGTATGTGACCATTGAAGTGCCATAAATGCTGTTTTGGTTGCTTCTATATTCAGGTGTTTGCGTATGCTCTCACTTGTACTTGGTTCAGAAATCACTGATGCATCTGTTGCTGCCATTGCTTCAACCTATGAAAATCTAGAATTGCTTGATTTGAGTGGGTATGCATTTATAACCTTCTCCAGTTCCATTTAGTATTTTACACAATAAACATTATTACCAATTGTGGACCCTATATTTGACAAGTTGAATGCCTCTTAGTTTCAATCAGTCTTTTTGTATTTACGAGTCTCAGTAGGCTCATTCTGAATCTCTGATCACAGGTCCAGCATCAGTGACAGTGGCATTGGGATGATCTGCAATGTGTTCCCTGAAACTTTATCAAGGCTCCTTGTTGCACTTTGCCCTAATATCACCTCAAGTAATCCTTCATTCAAGCTCCTAATATCTTTAAATACTCCGCTTTAGATCATGCAGGTGTTATTTCTAATGGATTTTCTCCATCTGCCTTTTCTCTCCAATTTAGGTGGCATTCAATTTGCTACTGCACAGTTGCCCAGTCTGGAACTTATGGATTGTGGCATGACCATATGTGATCCTAATACAAAAAGTGAATCCTCAAAGGAAAATGAGCCCCATCACAGCAGTGGTTGTGAACCTACGTGCATACAGAAGTCACCCAATAGCAAGCTGCACCATATTTATCAGAAGCTTATCATCAAACATTGGAGGTTGAAGAAACTCAGCCTGTGGGGTTGTTCTGGTTTAGATGTGAGTTTCAACCTAAAGAAACAAAACAAGTTTTTTGTCTCTTTGTGTGGTTGTGTTGTTTAATCTTTGTTCTGACTTGCAGGCCTTGTATCTGAACTGTCCAGAGCTCAATGATCTGAATCTGAATTCTTGTACAAATTTGCATCCAGGTTAGTCATCCCAAGATTCCTTTGCATCACATGCACTTAAACTTTTACAAATTTCTATTAGACCCACGGTTTGCTTTTATATGCAGAGAGATTGCTACTTCAATGTCCACAGCTGCAAAGTGTTCATGCTTCAGGATGTGAAGATGTTCTAATTGAAGCTATTAAGAGCCAGGTAGCTGCAATTTACAGTTCATGAATATTAGATTAGACTAGAGTTTATAAACTGACTGATTCAGCTTTGTTGGAGGTTGAAAGAAAAATATTTTAGGTTCTTATCTGTATCTTGCAGGCTTGTAAGAATTCTAGTGCTGCAGAAGATCACTTCCCATGCAAGCGTTTGGCTGATGGTTCCAAGAGGGTCCGAGTCCCACATCATCTCTCTCCACAGGTAGAATGAAGCAGATTAGAATGGAGAGTTACAAATTGCTTCAGATGGTATTTGTTTTCAATAGTATAATATCTTATATAAGCTTTCAATTTCTTTTGTAGCCATCGGAAGATGAGAAGAGGAAGAGAGTTCGAAGACTGCAGTGTACTGTGCATGTGAACTAATCAGAATAAATTCTTTCTTTTGCTTTTACTGTAAAATTTGGGGCTTCTGCCTTGTAAAGCCCCAATTTCTATAACCACTCATAGTGATTGTATTGGTGGCAATGCTTGAAGTAGCCATACTACATGCCACAAATTAATCTGGCTTATGTTTAAAGCAAAAACAATGCAGGTAACGAACTTTATATAGCAGGCTTCAAGTCCATGCACCCTTCTCAGCGTTGAGCAATAAAAGTATATAGTTTTTTGTTCATATCTGTGTTTAAACCTTGTATTGTGGCTGTAAGGGCTCCCCACGGAGTGCATTTGGAACATCTCTCGTTGTGGAATGGGCCTAATAGTAATATTTGTATCCGTGCATCACAGATAATGGTGGGTGATTGGATCCGTCCGCCCACAGCCCATCCCTCAGTGCACTTGGAACATCTCCCGTGCTTGTGATGTGGAGATATTCCCAATATACAGAGGGGATGGGTGGTGGGGTCCCACAGGCCACAGGCACCCCACACCACATCTTGAATTTGGAACATCTCCTAATGGAATTGGGATCTATTTCTCACTGAGCGCACCTCACACTGACCTCACGCCCACATCCCACGTTGTATTGGGAACATTCTTCTAATTAATAAATAGGGCAATTTTCTTAAACTACCCTATTGTTTAATTATTGTCTTACGTTACCCTTGCTGTTTTGAACAATTACATGGTTGTTAAATCATAATGGAAATGTCCATTTTACCCTTGGGTAATTTTCTCTCTCCGAAAACAAGGAGCTTCTGATGAGTTTGAACGCTCGAAAATAGAGATCGAGCACCATCATCGTTGTAGGTGACGGTGGCTGTTGCAACTTTTGAGCACCATGTTGGCTTTCATGGAATCTGTCAAGCCGGTCTTTTCACTTTGTCCGTTCATTGTTCACTCTAGTGAAGGTTTCACTATCAATGTCGGTTTGTCGCCACTGCCCATTTTTGTTACAGTAGCGGTGGATTGACTGTGACAAGAAAGAAGGGGAGAGAGAGAGAGGCTGGAGGTGGAGGGGAAGAACAAGAGAGGGAGAGGGAGAGGAAGAATGAGAGAAGAGAGATGCATCTGAGCTGTTGGTGCTAGAAGTTGTAGTGGCGGTTCTCTATTCATCATCAAGGCAGAGATGAAGATGAAGGAAGGAGAAGAGGAAGGAGAAAGAGAAGGAGAGAGAGAGAGGGACCTGGTTGGAGGTGGAGAGGGTCAATGCCGATTTGCCACCGTTGTGCCAAGAATTGGAAGAGACGATGAACAATTTTTTTTCAAGGCAGAGATGAAGATGAAGGAAGGAGAAGAGGAAGGAGAAAGAGAAGGAGAGAGAGAGAGGGACCTGGTTGGAGGTGGAGAGGGTCAATGCTGGTTCGTCACCGCTGCGCCCATTTTCATTGTAGCAGCAGTTCTCTATTTATCATCAAGGCAGAGATGAAGATGAAGGAAGGAGGAGAGAGAGAGAGACCTGGTTGGAGGTGGAGAGGGTCAATGCTGGTTCGTCACCGCTGCGCTCATTTTCATTGTAGCAGCAGCGGACCAACTATGACAAGAGAGAAGAAGGGGAGGAGAGAGAGAGGGGCTGGAGGTGGAGGGGAAGAATGAGAGAGAGAGGGAGAGGAAGAACGAGAGAAGAGATTTGAGCCGCCGCTGCTGCTAGAAGTTGTAGCGGCAGTTCTCTGTTCATCGTCAAGAAGAAAAGAAGAGGGGAAAGAGAGAGGGAAGAGGAGAGAGAGAGATCGGGTCAGTGATGGGTTTTGGCACTGATTGAATTGTCATTGGTTGTTAGTCACCGTCGCCGGTGAAAATAATTGCGGCTGGCATGGGCTCACCCCCATTATCGTTTGTGACCGGACCCCTGAGGTGCACCCAAGAAGATCCCCTGAGGTGAACGGTGAAACCTTCACCAGAGTGATCTTCATTGTTCATTCTCAATGAACGGTGAAATCTAGGATTTCCAGCTTCTGCAAGCAGAACTGCTCCAGTCCACCTCGGCTCTATTCCTAGATAGTGGAAAGGTGTATGTGACACCGATGTGGCAGAGTTAATTCATAACAGGRAAGGTGCACAGAATATCAATAACCTTCATAAACTTAGGGGGTAGAGGTAGTCACGTGGGTTTTGAAAAGGGTAATATCAATAACCTTAATATCAAGAAACTTAATTCATAACCTAGAACATGTGTATGGATTGTGACAAAACATTAACAGATCCTAACCGTAGGGGTAGAGGTAGTCAATTATCAAAAAACTTAGGAGGTACTCCAAGATAATAGTTAAGCAGTAGAAGTATATGTAGTCAATTAGCTAAACAATAGGGTAGTTTAAGGAAGGGGTTATATCAGATAACGACAACTTTTTGTCTTGAATATGAATAAAAAGTAATATTTTTATAAAATAATTAAAATAGAATAATTTTTTTARAAAAATATAAAAAAAAGAACAATAATACTGTTCATGCTCTCTCAAGAGGAAGACGATGGAATGATATTTTTTCCTGAATAAGGACAAAAAGTTGCCCTTATCTGTTACAAACCCATTACATTATCCATGAGACCATGACTATGAGTGAATAAGTGATGGACGGAACGACTCTATCCGCCTCTGCAAGAGGAGAGAAAGGCTGGATGGATGGATGCCCTTTTAGTTGCAGAGTTCTGGTTGTAACCAAAAAAGAAAACTTTAATGTCTGTCGCTGATGGAACATCGGCTGATCCATATTCCAATTACATGAGGACTCAGGAGTCAGGACTCCGGACATCGTCGGTATTAGACTACCACACACCTAATTAATAACATTTCCTCCTGACTCCTGAGTCCTGTTTATATGGAGCTTTTACTACTTTACTAACTACAGATTTGCAGTGGAGAATCCAACACGTCGGATTTATTCATGTCTAATTAAAGAAGACGATGAATCCGACAGTGCTGAGATTTGGAAAATTTTTGACGAGCACAACGGCAAAAAAAATGTAAATTTGAGAAACAGGAGGTAATAGAAAATCTCACGTTGTCGGTGACGTCGGGAACAGTCTGTGGACACTCTCCGTCGATTAAAGTGGACCTTTGTTTGACCAAGCATTCAAGATCTACAGATAATCAGGCTTCAACGACAGGCGGCCTTGCAGCGGCTGATTCTGATGGTGATACGCCCATGGTTGTAGGTCAGCAGCGGCGGCACAGCTACTAACTTCTTCGTCCTTAATCTCCACCACCTCTGAATAGAATACCCACCTCTCCTCGCTAGCATTCCTACCCTGATGATGCCTCAATGCCATGCGAGCAAGCGAACTCGCTCCCTCATCGCTATTATGTGTCCCATGGCTATAGGCGTAGGTTAGGGAGGATGGGGACAAGGAGTCCTCATCAGAGGACAACACCACGCTACTCCCATCCCCGGCACACCCGCCAAGGAGACCGTTCAAGGTTGCTCCGCCTCCATTGTTGCCGTGGAAGAAATAATTCACGTTGTCTTGATCAGGAACGTTTTTCTCTTGTAAGAGATTTTCTGGGTGTAATGGAAAAAAGGTTGAGTTGGGGATGGCTCATTTCGTAGGATTCCGGTGATTATTCCTGTAAAAGTTCACTCTCAAGACTGAGGAACTTGGATTTCCTAGCTGGTTTTGGAGAGAGCGGCAGAGGAAGACGATGAACAGTATTATTGTTCTTTTTTTTTATATTTTTTAAAAAATTATCGTATTTTAATTATTTTATAAAAATATTACTTTTTATTGTGAGATCAATGTGAGACACGCTTTGTGAGGAGCAGGAGAAGATCCGAACTCCTAATATAGGTATGGGGCACTTGTGGGGCCATCACGGGTAATATTGGAACGTGGTACAGTGTCTGTTGGGAGGGGATTCGAGTTCTTGAGCCAAGCTGAATATTTAGCTATTCCAGCTCAATTCATCAAGAAAGTATGAGGCTTGAGTTAAAAGCTAACTTGATTATGAGCCAAATGTTTTATAAAAATAATATATATATATATATATAAATTTATTTATTTGATATTTAAAAAATTATACAAGAATCAGTTATTATTAATGTTTTAAAAACCAATTTGAAAGTTGAACCATTTTTGCCTTTGGGTCGTAAGTCACTGGTTCGACYGGTCGAGCTGAACAATTTAGACCGTTCCACATCATCATATATGTATTAAATATATATTTATATACATATATAATATTTTATCAATAAATAATACATATACATGTATTATGTATATGCATATATTAAAAGCTCAATTAGGATCACGATAGGCTCGGGAGTCTTGTGAAGACAGAGATTTATTATACTCGAACTATCGAACATTTGGTTTGGCTTCTTGGGTGTTTGGTTCCGCTTACGTTTATTGAATAAACATTTTGTACTTGTGTAGTTACAAAATCGAGAAAAGTAATTAATAAAGACATTTATGACACATAGGTGCCATTAAGCACCCATGGACAAAGTGCCAATAAACGCYTATCCATTTCAGGAATTCCAAAATTAAGTTTCGTGAAACAGGAAAGGTGCACAGAAATTGATATATATGGATGAAATTAATGGGGCAAATTGTGATAGGGCGCCTATGTGGCAACATTTATTCAATAAACATAAATGGAATGAAACACATATTTGTGAAATAATTGCAATCATTTATGACAATTAGACGCCACATAAATCAAAATTCACTTTTTATATTTTCTAAGCATGAAAATAAGAGAGAAAATGTGAGATGGCGCTTATGTGGCAATCAACGTTTAATGAATAAACGTAAACGCAACCAAACATACACTTCATCACTGTCTGTTCAAGTTGCATAAGTTTCTCTCTCTCGTAGTCTCGTGTGTATGTCTGGCTTCAACATGGAAGTCTCTGTGTTTCCTGAATCCAAAAGACGGTTTTGGTGTTCTGCAGGTCTCTCTCTCTAAACCTCGACAATACTATAGTGGCTTCGCATTCTGTACATTCAAGCATTCATTAAGACACATTAACAACACACTTAAAGAAGGAAAAGAAATTTGGTTTCCCAAAATTGACTTATCTTATTAAGGACAGCGAACGATCCTCATAACGAATTAATTGTTGATTGAAGTTGAAGTCTGTTACATGATCCTGCTTTTAATAGTTGTTGGTTATGCCTGTAACTGATCTCGATGTGTCTATTTTGAACTCCGCAGAATCCTCGTTGCTCGGAAAGGGAAGGCATCCTAGTAGTCAGTGGTTTTCTTTGTCGATTTCTCCAACCAAAATAACTCCGCAGCCTCTATTGTGTCGTTCTAGATTTCTTTCTCCCAAGAAAACACACTTCAAGGTTAACATGGGTTCCTCTTCTTCTTTGTTTTAAAAAATCGATCGCTTTCCTGTATTCTGATGATTTTAACCTTTTCTTTTAGGTTTTATCAATTCAAAGGAATGAAATTCCTGTTGTAGAGGGAAGGTATGCTATCTTTGTCTGTTGCACTGTGAAAGTGTGAATTTATTTTATTTATTCAAGCTGGAAAAGAAAGTATAAGACCTCTTCAGCTTGATTACAATTGCAAATTTTTATTTTTAAATTCTGTGCACGGACATTAAAGCTTAAAACCATCACAGTTTCTTTACTCTCATATGACATTTTCAGTTTCTTTGTGCGCTACAAGCTTCAGCTTCGAACAATGATATGTACTAATTAGGATTATAAGAACATCTTGGATCGTATTTAGCAGGTGAGAATTAGGTCGGATAGACAGAAAATTAGATAGTAAAAGGTCATGCAAGAAGAGAATTTGGGATATAATTTGTGAATCAGTGTTGAAGAAAGGAAGAACGGGTATAGCTAGAAAACTTTTATTTGCCAACAGCTCTCTTTGCATTTTCCCTCTAAAGAATATCTAGACTTATCAGTTTCAAAAACAAAGCTTTACCCTAGTACCAAAACTATCTTTACTGGGAGAGAACCGAAGGTGTCGAAAATGCTAAGTTTAGGTACTCTTGTAAGAGTTCTAGAACATCTGCAGGTACTTAAAGTCTAGATGTATCATATAAGATAAAAGGGGGTTAGGGTCTAAGACCTTGTTGGGTTGTGAATCAGTTGCTATTTTCTGAGTGGTTTTGGTTGTTACAGAGCAGGGAAACTTATAGTTATTGGCTATAGCATGCAAGTAGAGATGCAATGAACATGAGTGAGAACGGGTAGAAGTATTTTTGACCTATTACAGTAATGTTGAGAAAGAAATTGTCAAAGTGGTTGAGAAATTCAGCAAATTTATCTTTTAAAATGGCAGAAAGCAGGGGAGGGAAGGATGTCTGGCCTGCTTTTTAAGCATGAGTTCCCGGTTATTTATCATTTGACATCCAAGGCTACAAGTTTAGCAGGTGCTATGAATGTGATTCAAGTGGGCCCAAGGTTGAGAAGGCATGCTCATGATGTTTTAAGTTTGTTCTCCACACTTGAATCGATGCCTATTTTCTTAGAAGATGATATAGATTCTGAAGTCTCGCGTCGAAGGCAAATTCTTGGTTAAGCCATTATGTTTTGGGTGGGCTTGGAAGAAGGTATTTTTATAGGAGGCTTATTGGGTGCCCAAGATTCCTTCTAAGGCATCCCTACACATTAAGGCTGCAAGTTGGGCCGGGTTAGGTTATGTTGAGGCCAACCCTAGCCCAACCCTAAGTTCTAAACCCCCAACCCTAACCCTAACCCAATTCGACCGTCAACCTGATCTACCCAACCCTAACCCTAACTAAATTCCTTTAACCCTAACCCAACCCAACCCAATCCGAAGTCAACTTCGGGTTGGGCCCAACCCAACCTTCTTCCCATCCCTTAAAAAATTTCATAAAACTATTTAATCTCAATTTTATTGATCAATAACAGAAATCTTTATTGAATTCAATTAAGAAATAAGTTACAGAGGGAGGTAAACTATCTTAACTCCCCCAAAACAAAGAAAAGAAGAAGTACAAAGTTAGAAATAAGCCCAAAACAAAGAATCCCTATTCACCCCTTGGTTAGCTAGCCCATCAGTGGAGGAATTTGCAGTTCTTTTCACCCAGCTGTACTTTATTTCAACATCCCTTGCCAACCAGTTGAACTTTTTCCTCTCATTGTTGTATTTCCACATTCCAGTCTTATCTTCCTTTAACCAATTTACCACTACCTCCAAATCACCTTCAATAATTAGTCTCCTAATAGTCAGTTCTCTTGCCCTTTGAATCCCTTCCAAGGCTGCTAAAATCTCAGCCCTAAGAGAGTCATCCTCACCAATCAGGCCAGAGAAAAGGGCTAAGGCATCCCCTTCCTCATTTTTGAAAATTCCCCCAATACATGATAGCCCTAGATTCCCAATGCTGAAATCTTAACTCAATTTTAACTTAATATTAATCCTATGTTTTATTAGTATTTGTTTGTTGATGTTTTTATTGGTTCTTTTAGTACAAAATTCGGAAAAATAAGTGTCTGAAATGACTATAGTTTATTATGAATTGTGATTTATGATAGATCTTTTATGGGCGCCAAACATTAGAGGGGAGATGAAGAATAAAATATTCAAAAAACATAAAATATGTTATTAAGGTTTTAGTCTTTTCATTTGGGATTAAGTGAAGTGATTATCTTAAAGGAAAGACATCATAGTATGTAGTGAGGGCTATACAACTAATTTTTTTTTTTATCAATAACAGAATGCTTTATTAGATTATAAAAATTGTGGAACCTTGAGTACAAGAGAGGGGAGGTAAAATATCTTAACTCCCCCACAACAGAGAACAAGAAAGAAAACTAAAAAGTGGCCCAAAACAAAGAATCCTTAAGCACCCCTTGCTTGGCTAACCCATCAGCCATGGAATTAATACTTCTCTTCAACCAACTATACTTCACCTCAATTTCCCTACTCAGCCATTTAAATTTTTTCTTTTCATTTCTGTAGCTCCACCAACCATTGCTGTCTTCCTTCAACCACCTAATTACCACCTCCGAGTCCCCTTCAATGATCAAGCACCGAATGTTTAATTCTCTTGCTCTTTTGATTCCTTCCAAAGCTGCTAAAATCTCTGCCCTAAGAGAGTCACCCTCACCAATAGGGCCAGAGAACATAGCAAAAATAATCCCAGCCTCATTTCTGAAAACTCCCCCAATCCCAGAAGGCCTAGGATTCCTTAAACTACAACCATCAAAATTCAGTTTCATGAATCCTGAAGGAGGGAGGGGGGGGGGGTAAGAAGGTCTAGAGGTCCTTTTCCACTGAGCCGAGGTAGCAATTTCTTTCCACTTTCTCAAACAAATCAATGTATGATATAATACATATAACATATATTTATATATGACAATCGGGTTTGGGTTGGGTCAGGTTGCCCAAAGGGTCAACCATAACCCAACCCGAAATAAAGCCGGGTTCATGAATTTCAACCCTAACCCTAACCCAAGCATCAACCCGCCCCGACCCAACCTGACTTGATAAGGTGCTTAGTACACATGTGCTTTGTGTAACTTGATATAAGGTGCTGTGAATAAACCCTAGTTGTTTCTAGGTCAAAGTAGAGAAGAAGAAAGAAGAAAGAAAAGAGAAAGAAGAAGAAGGAGAGGAGAAGAGTGTTCG